CGCATCGGAGGAGTCTTCGGTTTTGGACGTCCTTCGTCGCGGCGCTGTGGCGTATGCGGCCGACAAATTCGGCCTTCAGAGGACCCGTCCTGTAGTTTTGGACACAGCCATCATCTCCTCTGGACGTCGCGGAGTTGATGACATCACTCCTTTGGACTCCTCCAGAGAATCCCAGTCTATTAAAGAGTTAAACCTCTCATGATCTGGTTGTCACTTTCAACTCACTGGTTTTCATAACAAGTTCTGGAAGTTCTAAGCGGATTCCTAGCTGTGCCCGGGTCATCTTCCACCACACTTAACCTGACTTGAAGTCTACCAAAGGTGAAGCTGAACTTGGTTGATTAAAGAGCGTCTGAGTCCGGGCTGTGTCGGAGCGAGACTTCCAAACCGTCTAGCTCCTCACTTCGATAAGATAAAACCCAGTTCCCTTCCTTAACAAAGCTTTTCAACCTTAAATTATTAAATCTTTCCCCTTCCCTCTAAAAACTTTAAGAACAAGTGCCTCAACGATGGTTTATTTCACAACTTAAGCCAAAACGTTGTTGTTCCTGATAAAGTTGTCAAAATAACGAGAATTAATGCGCTCGCGAGTTAGATGTTATTGATTTCAACTTTTGTAAACATCTGATCATCCCTCAACGAGTCTGTACATAAGTAGTTGTTTTTCTGTAAATAAATATTTATTTTAGATAAAACTTTACTGACTATGTCACTCATTGGTTAATTCCCTGATAATTACACAGAAAAGGTATTTTTATCTATATTAAAGAACTCTCAATTCCTCATAACTAAATTATGACAAGGTGTAGGTTTATAAATCTCCACAATAATGGCGACCACGTAGCTTAATATCAGACATTAAACTTTTTCTGTTTCATTCTAAACTAATGGCGACCGCGAACTTAATATCAGATATAAATTTTTCTGTTTAATTCTAAAGTAAAAAATGCRTCTGGCAGTGGTGGAAAGAATTCAGATGTCTCATTATATTGACTGAGCAGAAAACTCAAGGTACCTGCAGGCTTTGTGTTTGGACATTTGTCACTATAATGTTAAAACATCGCTTTGATTTTTTCAAAGTTCACTTGTGAACTTACAGAGTGTTGTGTGATTTATGGCTTTGCTTATTTCACGGTACAACTGTGTCTCAGTGTTACTGAGTCTGTTTTAAACTAAGCTGGAAGCTAGTTATAATTGCATGCAAAGTTGTCACATGGACAAAATTGTTATTCTAGACCAGTGTTTCCCAAAGTTGGGGTCTTTGAGTCCCGAAAAATCAAGGTGGGGTCCTGAAAAGATTTTCTGAATTAATTACATTTTTGCCTTAGTTGTTACAAAGGAGTGAGGTTAGTGTATTTA